TCCTTGCTATCATCTTTATCCCCCACTAGTATCTTCCTACCTAGCTACCCCCATTTGAAGATGTCCTTTATTCCTCTCCACATCTTGATCATGAATTTGCTCTTCTTCTTGTTCTTCTTATTCTCGTGCTGGAAGTCTGACTGGAGATCTGCATGCGCCTTAGCCAAAGTACTGTAGGCTGTCTTGAGTTTGCTAACTGAGTCTGCCATCTTCTCCTGAGACTCTTTCTGACTCTTCTGCGCATCCAAGTAACTCCTCATTTCTTCCTTGGAGAAGTACACGGGCCCAGGATGGAAGGATGAAGGTCCACTCAGAAGCTGTGACACTAACACCCGGATGGATGCAAGCTCGGAGTTTAGCACCCCAAATGGTCCCTCAGGTGCAGCTGCCTGTGATGAAGACTGAGGACCGGTAACAGAAGTGGTGACCTTCTTTTTCTTTCTTTTGACTGCACTACCTTCTCTTGTCACTCTAAGTGGGTGAAAAGGTTTATCAGCCAACAACCAATGATTGGTGCTACGCACCTCGACCTCTTCTCTCATGTATAACTGTGTGATCAACGAAGGGAAGATCAACCCTGCATCCTTGTCCCGCAAATACTCCCTCAGCTCCCGCAGGATATAGTAACCGACATTCACAGGAATGCCGTCCAGGATGCATGCAATGATCAATGCCCTGGTGGAGGAGACATCTGAGACGTTTCCATAAGGTGACACCCTGTTGCATAGGATGTACAACCATATTTTTGCTTCAGCTGTGAAGTCAATTGACTTCAAACCTTTTCTCATGTTTCTCTATTTTGCTCTCATGCTTGGAGGGTAGAGTTTGGAGACAAGCCATTCCCCGTTGTCGCACTGATCTTTCTCTCACACCGGCTCAATTCGATAGTTATGAATCCCAAGGGCGTCATTTATCTGTTCTATCCCAAACCTTACCAATTTTCCTCTAATGGTGAGTTGTGGGTTGGCCAAGTCAGTGCGCTTAATATTGGCATAGAATTCGCGAACCCACTTCTCATTGGCTTTGCATGGAGTGGGAATGAAGCATGAGCATCCAGAGGCATGGAGACGGGCATAGAAATCTGGGACCCGTTCAGCCAATTTCTCCTCGTGGATCCCTTTTCAAGCACTAGCTTTTTGGTGACGAGGTTTTCATAATATCTGTGCTGACAGTCAGCCGACATGAAACGTGAGTTATCAAATGGTTGTTGATACCCAATTTTTCCCTATATAATTTTTATATACAAATAATACTCTCAAACTAGCATATATATGAATACAAGCATATCTAAGTATTTTGGTATTTTTGTAATTTTTAAAGATTTTTAAAATCAATTTATTGTCCATTTTAGCAGTACAAAAATCAATAACAAATTATCATTTTGGTGAATAATTTATTTTATCCTCATATTATACAAAAATATAGCTAAGGTAAATTTTGCACATTTTTTACAAATTTATTGAGTATTTTAAAATTAAATTGCACATAATTGCAATTCTAGCCTATTTAAGATTAATTGAGTTTATAATTACAAATTTTGATTCCAGTATTTTTAATTTAATATTTACGTATTCGTAATTAATTTAGTACTTTTAATTTGTTTCTAGAAATTGTTTTACTATTTTTTATAAAATAAAAAGGGGAAAATGGCTATTTAAATACTAGCCCTAATCATTTTAATTTTAGCCTAAATTAGCCCCCCAATTAAACCCAATTTAAAATCCCATTACCCGGCCCAAATCCTAAGTTCACCCGACCCACGACCCACTCAAATAACCCGCCCGGACCTTTTCTTTTAATCCCAGCCGTTGATCTAAAAGATCAACGGCTCACACTCATTCTTTCTTTTTTAATTGATCAACCCCACCAACCGTAACTCGTTTTTCAATTATCCGCCGCCTCTAAATTTCATGACAGATTTGAGCTCAAGATCCTCAGCATTATTAATAATATTGAACGCTACATTATATCAACCGTATCGTCGACGATTATTTTACATTTGTTCCGTTGTTATCCACTAAAGACATAACTTATTGATATCTCTTTATTTTCAGGTACCTGAGCCTCTCCCATGAGGTCTTATGAAGTGTTATGTCATGGTGCTCTTATAAAGCACTTGCCTCCTTATTATGACCATCTTGAACATTGCTCCTCTCCTTCTTCAAGGAGTTTTATCTTTGGAACCGATTAGTCTATCACGCTTCATGCGTCCCATAGACTATGTCCATCATAGACTTTATTCTATTTGGAGCATTAGTAGCTGAAATATGACATTTACTTTTGGGTCAGCAAATGCGCATGGTAATATTTTGCAAATGAATTATCACTTGAATTTCAAGTTCATATTTTCTTGTACGAGGATCTAAGTGTACTCATAATAATTCACTCCATGTATTACTTTTTTTAGCTGCTCATTTTTCTCCCCCTAATGCTGGGATCACCAGCACACATCCCCAACTTTCTTTGGGAACCCATCTTTATGCATTGTGGTGGGATAATTAAATCATATAGCACATCCATATTTCTAGATGGAAATTATTTGGTTTCTGACCCTGAACCAATTAAGATAGGGAGAATATTAAGATAGGGCGTACAAGTGCTGTTGTATATTAAATAATATACCTCATAACAATGTTCTATTTGAGAGTTTTATTCTCATAACCAATGATTTAGCTTAATTGGAGGCATACAGTTTCTACTAAACCAACTTGTATTTAAACCAGCATTATCAAGAAATCATAATTTTATTCTGGAACTGTGCTCTAATAATTTGAGCAATCAACCTTGCAAACTCCAAATTGCAAGTTGATAACAAACGCACATGTGACCATAGAATAGATGCATCTATTAAAAACTTATAATAGTAAACGGTCCACATGGCAGCTGATTGGGCCCATACATATATATCACCTTTTATTCGTTCCAGATATCAAGGGAATCAATCCCAACCTTAACTGGTATATCATGAGATAAGCAGCACAAGAGAATTGTTGAAGAATTTTCTATTTCTTCAATATATGCCAATGTGAATTCTGAATTAATTTTTGCATCATAATTGAACCGGGATGGCCAACCAGTCATGCCAACTAATCTTTGTTTCAGTAAACCTTTAGTTTACTTGTGGCATGTGATTCCATCATCATGCTTATACATGTTTAATACAAATAAAAGAAAAATCGGGTAACCTTTCATATTCACCCGGTATGATTATAGTAATATGAATATATTCAAATTTTTCTTTCATTTATAGTCTCAATATGCCAACCACTTTAGCTAATGTATTTGAAACTCAAAAATTTATTTTGATCTTTACTATAATATCAATGTCATAAACAATTTCATTAATTCAGGTAGTAACAAATTAGTTCTTACGGAACTCTTAATTGAATTTGTACTACAAGATCTTTTGTCACACCATCCATATGGTAAATGTCTCTTTCACGGAGAAAATCATTATCATAATAATTTTCATGGTCAAAATCATCATAAGCAAAATCATTTCTTGCTTTAATTTTGCCTTTAATAACCTTCCACAAGGCAAATATTTTTGGCGTACCATATGTATGCGACCAATGACATATTCATGTAACCACACAGTAATCTTCATTATCTTTCTCAAACCTCCTGTAGAGGTAAGTTGTAGTATTTATTTAGTTATACATAAGCACATTCTTATGCATAATTTGTATCACATATATATTCCACATTCACTTTGAGGAATGAGTCTGCATTAATAATGCTCACAAGTCGCATTCTTTCAAAAAATGGACTATAATTGTCTGAACGACGTGCCTCATAGTTACAGGCCATACTGATACACATTTTCTTCACCTTTGAAGGATTATTTTGAGAACCTTTATTGTTCTTCTTTATACAATTATCATAATAATGACTATTATTATTTTGGTCTTTGGTACGCTCACGTTCATTGGTCAATCACTTGTATTCATTTAGATTTATTATGCACCACTATCATATTCACTTCAAGAATGGAGCAAATCAAGTGAGACAAGCTTCATGCTTTATCATGAAAAATACCTTATTTTTCTTTAGTCATCATTATATTATCAATATGGTGCATTGAGACTTGAACTCAATGCTAATCCATACAAAAACGTGTAAGGTTATAATGTGTTGGGCTCAAACCCAATATCATGGTACACCAGGACTCAAACCCAACGTCTTACCCTCAACCAATGACATAATAGGCTAAAGCATGCTGAGCTGACCCTCGAGCATTTAAAAATATTACCCACTTGTAATGACCACAGGCATAAAATCGTTCAGTCTAATGTTATCATATTTGATGATTCATATGAACTAATATAAAATAATTATTCGACATTACATAAGCAATAAAAGTAGTGTTGGCCAAAAATTAGATACCAACATATCTGTAACCAAACATAACTGTTATGTTGGTAATTAATGTGAATGAAGCGATGTAGTTCACAAATATGATATAAAGTTAGAATATTACCTTAACGAAAATCGTGCTGATAACGTATTATGAGACTTAGCTCAAATTAATAAAACAAAAAAATAGACAAGAATGTGGTGAGAAAGAGATGAGAGCTTCTTATTTCTTTCAAGTGTGTCAAGTATGTACAATGTGATGCCAAAACCCTCTATTTATAGGATTATGTAGAGGTATACAAAAGAATGCCATAAACATGACATTAAACATTTGAGATCATGGAGAGGTTATGGAGGTGTGGGAGTTACAACTATAATGGTGAGAAGTTGTGGGAATTATCTACATAATAGAGAAGAGTAGTGGAAGTAATTTCTCTAGGAGTTATGGACATCCACTAATATATATATATATATATATATATATATATATATATATATATATATATATAACTATATAATAAGAGAAAGCCTTGTGTATGACGAAGGGCATTTCGGTAATTGTTGATTCTTTGTGGTTAAGGTGGTAATTTCGCTCTGCTCATTCTTGTAAAGAAGTGTGTCTCTATTGTATGTAGTTGAAATTGCCCCAGTAAGTTCTACAATGTTCTCTTTCTTCCGCTCTATTTGGCATTCAGTTCTGCGTATTATATTTCCCAAAGGCTCCATTTGTGGTTTCTAAATTTCTAGCCCAGCTCTGTTTCATTTGTTAGTTCTGATAAGTTTTCCCCTGCTTTTTCCTTTCTTGCAGTGATTTTTGCCCATCACTTCTAGATTTTCTGTGAAGGTTTGTCCATTTTTTGCTTTTCCTACTCTTTGCATAATTTCTTGCTAGATCTTTAACTGCATGTCAGTAAATCTACCTGATCCGCACATGCATCTATAAAAATAGATTCCTGGTTATGTATACTCCCGGTCTTTGATGTCATTCATTCCTTGTTATCTCTCTCCTTCCTTCTGCTCTTGGCTTCTTTCTTCTGTAAGTTAATTGTTCATTTCTCTATTGCTATTTCTTCTCAATTTGTTTTCAATTTATATTTTTCTGCTTAGTTTCTGTAATTGTTTTCTTTTTAATTTTGTTATTTATTGCTTGTTATATGTTGTTCCTTTTGGATTTACTTGAGATTTTTAGTTTCTTGACCACTAAAAAGCAGGAAATAGAAACATAAAAATACTTTTAGTTTGTTGAGATTTGAAAGAAGAATTCGAGAAAGTCACTTGATTCTACAAATTTTGATTCACAGTAATCTATGCCAAAATTTCCTTTGAATCTATAGTTATTGTTAGATATTTATTTGCATGTTAGTGAATTTATCCAATTAATACACCGATGCACCTATGGTGCTTGATAATATGCCTGAAATAACGGAATATTTTTTCCCTTTTCTCTGGTGACAGGTGTTCTACTATAACAACAGTTATGCCTCAGTCTAAAATAAGTTGGGATAGGCGATATGAATCTTCATTATTTTAGTAAGCTCAAGTACATACTCATATATCATTTCGCAATCTGAAGGGTGTTTCTCTGCTGTAAATTGAGCCAACAATCGGAAAAGTGCTGTTCAGTTGGGAATTGAGTTGTCTTTGGCTGCTAAAATCTTAATCTCTTTGTTTGCTTGCATTTACAACTCTCAGTCTTCTTTCCCTTGGAATTATTGTGAAACTTCATGAGTAACTTTAGTGTCATTGTTCTTTATGGATAGGTAAAAGAGCGACGAGCCTTTGGAGGGATGGCGAAAACTTTTACCATATTAAAGTAATCCTTATGTTTTCTTGAAAAGGTACATTTTCTCATAAGAGGTGCAGGTTCTCCTTTATCCTTCTATATTATTATAGGTTAATGGTTCATCTCTATCATAACCTTTATTTTACTGTTGATGCTGTTAATAGTTAGAGAGTTAAACGCAACTACATATTTCTTGCAGCGTAACAACTCTTATTGGTGGAAGTGATCTGCAGTAATTTTTCAATTAAAAGTTTTTTATGACATTTATTCAGGTTAGAATCCTTTTTTGGTATTCTGACCCTGCAAGGTTGAGGGTACTTAAATATAGAAACCCAACTGATTTAATTTCGCTCTCTATCGTGGTATTTCTTACTGCTTAAACTTTATTATAGGCATCTGCTCAGTTGAAAAACAGTGTGCGAGATATGACTGTGTCTGCCTACAATTAACTGGGTATTTTATAGTTATCATGACTCATAAGCATGCATGGATAATCAATTGAATCTTCTTATGTTCACAATCCGAAGATATCTCATGTCTTAAAGATTATGAAGAACTATATATTGAAGATATTCTTACAAAAGTTGATGTAACTATTATCAAAAGTGTTGCATCTGATGATTAGAAAGATCTTGAAATGACAATAGTTAATTCCTTAGTTTCATTCAAGAGGTTATTTAGCCACCGCACTTTTCAAATTGAATGGGAAATAGACCTTCATTACTCGATTTTCTGTTTACACAATGGACATTGTCAGAGATATTTTAACTAATTTGGCTAGCGACTTGGAACTGTTGATCTCCTTTTGCATTATGCCAAGGCATTTGCATTTTAATTTTGTTGCTCTCAAAGGTATAAGTACTTATGAAATTTTTTACAGTTTTTAGAAAATTATTTTCTTGATAATCTTGGCGCATTTATCTATATTTTGATTTGGAAATGTACTAAAAACCGCTCGGTATAATGCCAAACTAAGTTTCAGAATGTGTTAAACCCGTCTGACACTGTTATCTGGGAATGATTTTATTTTGTGAATTGCTAAATATTATTATGGTACTAGAACTGCTACTTATTTTCAAGCCAGCTTACTATGAACACTAATAATTAACGTTTTATTTATTCTGGCATTACGTGCACGTGGTTTAACTATTCTACGAAGGTATGTTGATTTTCATTTTACTAGGTTTTTCATATTGCCTTCTTAATATTATTTTTTCGCAAAACATGTTGTCGGCATGTGCTTTCTTTTCCCCTGCTTTCTATAGATGATATTTTGCGTTTGTTTCTATTTCTTTAAGATCGTTGTTATTGTTATTTATGCTATGATATGTGTTTCCCTCCTTAATTCTTGAGTTGTTTACATCTATCCATAGTATCGAAATACAAGTCAATTGTAGTCCCACTAAGGAAAGAAAAGATTTAGGAGATGTAATAGGATTTACTATGAACTTGGCTCATCCTCTGGTAATATATGTTTTCCCGTTGCATATATCATTGTTTGAAAAGTAGTTAAATGTGTTTCATTCTTAACTTTGATATTCAAGATTCACAAATATTTTTATTACTATATTTGAGTCATTTGGCAGGAAACTATCTATGGGCAGATTGTAATATTCGAGAAAGACATCTTAGTGCTATGCATAAAGCTCTTTGTCATAGCATAATGGAACTGCTTAAGGTGAGGATCTAAGGCTTATGAGTACAGAATCCGATGGTATTTTAAATTAGAACAAACTGTATTTTTCAAATTATGCAACCAAATTAAATGGTTGACTAATTGAAAAATGAGATCATACACATTGAATGTTGAGATTACGCATTGAATTTATGGTAGTAGATCCATTATTAGAAGTGTTTGTGATTGTTCCAGGAGAAATTAAACAATAGATATGGTAGAGTTAGAACAGTTATTTATATGAGGTCTCACCAATGCTAGATGCATTTGCAGAAAAGTTTGAAGCTAGAATTACGGCATATTAATGAGAAACCTTCTCATATCAAAACAGAAAACTGTGTTAAATTGCAATTTCCATAGTTGTCCTTTGAACGCAAGGAGATGTACTTTTGGTTATTGCTCTAAATTACTACTGTGAAGTGCCTTTGTAGTCTTCTTTTCACGTTCTCAGGGAGATCTCTTTAGAAGTATGCAATGATTTCTTTGAGATTATTTTTACTAATGTATTAAATACTTTTGGGATCGATGTGTTATGAGCATTTAAGCATTTACATTTAGGTACTCTTGACACCTGTTTAATCTACTAAGAATTTGCTTTGTGTATAATTTGACAATGGTAATGCACTTTTTGTTTGCTTGTTTACCGGATGTAACCATGGTTGAAAAAGATGACTACTATTTTGTGGAGTTGCATTTTATCTACTACAGACATTCCTATGCATCCATACGAGGGATAGCTTTGACAAATGCAGAGACATTCGTCTTCCTAATGGTTAACGGCTTAATGGATAGCTTTAATAAATGCACAAAATTTTGTCTTCCTAACGGTTAATGGTTTGATGAGTAGCTTTGACAAATGCAGATACATTTGTCTTCCTAATGGTTAAGTGTTTGTGAGGTAGGAAAGCTTTTTGAGTTTTTTTTCCTTTGATACAAATATCACAACAATTGTCGATATGATGGAAGAATAATCAATTTTGATATATGTCAATCTTTATTTGATTCCTTATTGGCAAATGGCCTACATCCAAATAATATTTTTCCTGTGATATTAGCATTCCGTAAAAGTGATGATAACACATTTTAGAATAAATTTTGGGACCGTGCAGTGCACGGGCATCAACATCTAGTTAGAGGAGAAGAGAGATGAACTGTGAATCTAAAATAATACATGTGATTTGGTAAGGGGGAAAGAAAGTACACGTGTTTATTGACTAATCACATAGACTCAAACATAAAGTACAATTCACATTAATCACATAGACTCAAACATAAGTACAATTCACATTATTTTTGATATGGGATAATAGTGGGTATNGGTGGTGGTGGCGGCGGTGTCTGAGAGGTGGTTCCGTAGTACTGCTGGTACGTCGGGAAAGCGGGAGATGAGTTCACTGTGGGAGGATCTTGGGGTTGAGCTGGTGGTGGGAGGTAATTGGGGTTCGCAGGATAGACGGGTGGTGGATGTCCCTTCGACCAGGCCTAGTACATTTCGGCCATTTGTTGCTTTAGTTTGTACATCTCTTCTCTTATTGTGTTAACGTCCACTGCCTCCTCCTCTCCGGATGGGTCAATAACGCTTGCTTCCAAATCCTGATTGGTCATATTTGACTTGTCCTTGGAACGGGTGTTGTAAGGATGGGTTGCCAGAATGCCAGTCAGCTTAAACACCTATCTGGACTCATCAACAACAACTTGGTTAGCGGTTAGGGCATTGACAAATAGATAACCGCACATTGATGGGTGGATGTACCTAAGCAGTCAAACGTCTCTATTATGCCTCTATTCATTCACATGCGTCATCCCGACTTTCATTTCTTTTCTTGCCAATTAGTTCCCACTCTTATCTTTTCACTTTGTTTTGCTCTCCCTTTATTGGTCTTCTTTCATTTGGTTTTTCCCCTGTTTGTACCATTCTTTTCTGGTTTTCCCTTTTATTATTTAGAAACGGTCGAATCCTATGGAGATTGCCTACGTATCACGACCCCGCGTGAATCAGACCAAGCATAGTTCGTAAAAATAAATGCAAAGTAGGAGCGTGGTATTTTTTGGACAATTTCAATTTTATTGATAGCAAACTTGTCTATTACAAAGACTCAAAACAACTAACAAACTTCATCATCCCTATTCAAACAAAATACAGACTCGATCAACTGACTGTCCCTTAAAAAAAAATACAGACTCTGGTAAAAAGAAACACAAGCCCAAATGACCTACCGCCCAAAAAGGAAATACAGACTCGGACGACAACCCCCCCCCCCCCTTTTTTTTTAGTAGAAGAAAGGGTGTAGACTTAAAGACAATTACGAATACATTAAAGCTCCTGGTTCCCGCGGGACATCATTCGGTCTCGCCGCGGGCCTATATGCAAGTTCCCCTTGAAGTCTGTCTAGGTCGTTCATTATCTGCTTCACGAATGTCATCACTGATGCTAGGAAGGTAGTACGGGTCATGTTCTCGCATATTTGACATTTTCTAGTAATGGAATGAGCAACGGTTAAGATTCTTTCTCGGATTCTTCCTTTCTCTTGAAGCAATCGCCCTATCTGTTGGGCCCTGGCCTCCAAAGTTCGCTCATCCGCTTGGCTTTGTTCCCGGAGTTGTTGCAAGTCCCTTTCTAACTGTGCCAATGCCATGTAACAATGTTCCCTTTCGACTTTGAACTCTTTTGCCTGCTTGATCATACGGTTTTCTGTGGCAATAACCTTTTTCTTTAATCCCGTGACCTCATTGTCATATTCTTCTTTTAACTGTTTAACCATGCGGGCCCGTTCTTCTGCATTTTTAGCCAATTGTTTCTGGACCCCAGCTAATTCCTTTTCTGCCTTGTTACGGTCAAAACTGTAGTCGTTCACCTTTTGCCTTAGATTTGCTATAAGCTTTGCATCTTTGGCACTCCTGACAGGATTATCGGCCTCTAACTTCATTTTTTGGATTCGGGCTCGCAAGGCTTCATTCTCTTTGGCCAATTGGTTTTTCTCACCTTCATCAGCCGCGGCTTGCAAGCTATTTTCAAATCGGAGGTCTTGGACCTGTTTTTCCAATGCTCCTATGCGGGTCCTGTATTCATTTTCCTTAGCTAACCAAGCCCACTGTTCTTGTGATGATTCAACAAATTCCTGGATGTGAGGTCTTTTGGCCGGTCTCCCGAATGCAACGTCCCTTCTATACCAAGCCTGATAATCAGGAGACACTTCTCCTTTGGCTTGATCTCGAACACAAGTGTTTGCCGCCAAATATTGACATTCGCTCCAGACCTGGCGGACCATTGCTTCAGGAAACTGGCCATCAGGGCCAATCTCAACCACTTGCAAACTGAGATCATCATCCTTAGGTACAATCTGGCATCTCCCCAGCTGCCTCAACACTCGATACGGTGCGTAAGGCTGAATGCTTCTAAGCCCCATCAGAAGGAAATGTGGTCGGGCTGCCGGCATGTATACGATTTCATCAACGGGTAACTATCCCAGTGTCCACTCTATTTGGCTNNNNTAAAACCAACATATCTCCTTCAATATAAGGTCAAATGGAGTGATTCAAGAGCCTAACTTGACTAGAATTTTACAAGAAATCTATTGGAGGCATCAAAAGTGAGTTTCGAGATCTTTCGGCATAAGAAACGAGGCAGAACAGTGTTAAAATGAGGGTTTTGTTCATTTAACATATTTTGAGTTGGGGGGCTCGGAATTGGGCAATTTTCGAGTCGATTTTCAGGATATGAATTAAGGTAAGTGTTCTCTACTCGGTTTTGATTATATTTCGTGAACCTATCTTCGATTTTAGCTTTTGTTTGATGAATTTTAAAGAAGAAATTGGGGGTTTTGGCCTAAAGTTTCACAATATGAATTTTTGAGTTTTGAACACCGATTCAGAGTCGGATTTGAGTGAAACTAGTATGGTTGAACTCGTAATTGTATGGGTTGACGAATTTTGTGAGTTTTATCGGGTTCCGAGGTGCGGGTTCGGGTTGGGCTTTTTTGGTGATTTTGGGCTTTCGATTAAAGATTCGACCTTTTTCGATTAGGATTGGTTCCTTTAGTATTGTTTGATGTAGTTGAGTTGTTTTTGATTAGTTTCGAGCCGTTCGGAGGTTGGAACTGCGCGTGATGGTATTCTTGGAGCATCGCTTGGCTTGCTCGGTGTCGGAATTGGCTTGTTTAAGATAAGTAACTCTTCTATATTTAGTGCTGAGGGTATGAAACCCCGAATTATGTGTCATGTGATTGGTGTTGAGGTGACGCACATGCTAGGTAACGGGCGTGTGGGCGTGCACCCTGTGAGTTATGACTCTGTTGTTTCCAGGGCACTGTTTAGTGGCCCACTTTGGTATTTGTGTTTTTCACCATGTGATAAAGTAATTGAGCTGTACATCATGCTAGATATCATGTTTAGGTTTTATGCTGATATTGTTGGGATCCCTAGCGGTCGTTTCTTGTTGTCATCTCATTGATTTTATTGATATTTTGTACTCAATCACATTCATGCATTTATATCATATCTCAGTCTCAGTTGTTATTTATTGATACATCATATCATTATTCCAGGTTAGTTTTCATGACATTGTGAGCCCGTGGGTGAGACTGGAGATATTGATGACTGAGTGAGGCGAGAGCCTGATTATGAGTGACAGTTATGGGATCGGGCTGCACACCGCAACATGTTATATTGATTTATGCCATGATTGGCTTGTTATAGCGTTTGGGCCGTAGGAACCCCTCCGGAGTCTGCACACCCATAGTGGGCGCAAATGATGTTATTGAGGGATGAATTTCCCTGGACATGGACTTGTCCGAAATATATGATATCTGGAAATGGATTTCTCCACAGGGTTGGATTGCCCTTATTCCTCGATATTGTGTGACTTATAGTCAGTGTTGTATATGTTTCGGGATGGATTTTCCTGGACCACATGGGCCATATACAGTATCGAGTGGTTGAGCATTTATATATTATTGAGGGATGGATTTCCCTAGATATGGATTTGTCCGAAGTACTTGATAGCTGGAGATGGATTTCTCCACAGGGTTGGACTGCCCTTTTTCCTTGGTAATGGGTGACTTATAGTCAGTGTTGTATATGTTCCGGAATGGATTTCCCTAAGCTGTATGGGCCATATACAGTACCGAGTGATTGAGTATGATGAGTGGAAAGTGTGATACAGTGAGGTTGAGTACTCTGAGAGTGTGAGTACATGATTCATCTCTGAGATACATGGTATTGGCATGCATATATGACATACATGCATAGAGACGCATTTTCCTCATGATGTACGGTATCACATCATTCATGACTTTTTACACACATTGATATGTGGGCATAGAGTGGTATTTCACACTTTTTACTTGGAAAGGAAATGAAACATTTTTATCGTGGAAAGGATTTTTCAGGAAAATTATAGTTTTCAAACTATCTCAAAAAATTTCGATGATTTCGATAA